ATGGGAGCTGGGTGCACTACTGGCAGCAGGTGGAGGAGGAGGTGCCCACCGACCAGCAGCTTGTGGCAGACCGAGGAGCCCGTGTGACGGTCACACGAGCGCAGAGTCCGTGGTCAGTAACTCGCCGGTACCCGGAAGACTGCCGGTGGGGCATGCGAGGCCGACAAGGTCTGCGGCGCTCTGCTCGGCTGCGGGAGTGTGTGAGATATCACGTTCCGGGAGATCGTCGCCTTGACACACAACAACGGTCCCCTGACCCCCCTCCATCAATGCAGGCGGTGGCCGTGGTTGAACACTGCGAGGTGGGAGCATACTTTCTTGCTCCGCCGCTGCCAGTGGTTGTCCCACATCCGAGGTCGCTGCAACTGAGACTGCCGCTCCGGCAGACGTGAGTGGATGCAGTGCACCGACAGAACCCTCGTCCCACACTGCCGGGTGAGTACTGATCTCTCCCTGAACCTCGGGATGACGCATCAACGGTGCTGGACCCTGTTGCGATTCTGGGACTGCTGCGGAAGGCCCCATCGGAGCTGTCGCGTGCATACTCGAAGTGTCACCTCGTGGATGACCGCTCCCGCCATGCAGCTCGATCCGCTCCTCGCCGCCATGATCGCTTAAAGAGTCCTCAAAAACTGGAATCTGCCCAGTTGCGGGGACTCGTGATAGTGGAATGCTAGCAACCCCACCGTGACGTTTGCACACACGTGAAGTGATAGTGTCTTTTTTTCTTGGTCCGCGTTTCAAGCGCCTCAGGTCACCGCCCGAGACAGGTCGTGAACCATCATCATGCACTCCATCTCGAGCGTGATCTACTGCTGTGCGGTGCTCGCCCCCTGCCCCGTCGGCGCGCATCGTGTCACCATGTGCTGGTCGTGGCCTATCTCCTCCGTCACCRTGATCATCGCCACTGGCGCCATCGTCGTCGCCCACATTCGGGTGACGGTCGTCGAAATCGCTGTCGCCATCCTGTGCAGGCCTGCCATTCCCGAAGAAATCCTCGTCATCGCTGGACGAGCTCTCGTACAAAAAGACTCCCTCCTCCCATCGCTGTCGAGGCTTGCGTATTAGCTCGTCCACTGCCCTTCCACGACTCGCTACACTACGCCTCTCGCCAGGACCTCCACGCCCGCCTCGCCCGCGACCGTCCTGACGACCACCTCTGCGACCGCCGCCACGACATCTCCTCCTGTCAGACTCCCGCAAGCGACGAGTGGCTCCCATGCGGGACACGACGCGCATCCTCTCTCTCGCCTGCGTCAACTCCTCCTTCCTCTACCGGACTTGTCGACGTAGATATCCCCAGGTCTACCCCATGTGTCACCGCCCAAGCCACAACAGCCTGTTGTCATTAAGCGTGGATCGGACGGGTTTGACGTGGAAGGAGGCGATATTGCCGATATGATTACGAGCCCAATGGTGTCTGCCACGCCCACAATTTTTCGTGTTGGCAAACTACGCGAGGTGGCCCTTGGTTTGGCGGAGACGGAGACGCGACACCGCCGCGACGGTCAGCGCAGCATCGCACAACGCAGTCTTTCTCATTCGTTTGACGGCGCAGAGGAAGGGTCTCATGGTGGGCCAGTTGACACACT